GAGCATCCGCCAAACCCGATGTCCCCTAGGCTCAGGTACTCTTGAGAAAGGAAACCACTCCTGACTAACTCCAGTCCTTACCGGGTGCTTTCCTTGATTTCTCCACTCCGAGAAATTCAGGCGCGCATACGGAAAAAATGAAAATCCGAGACGATCACTTTCCCTTCTTGGCTCCTCCACGTCCCCCTGACCTGGCACGCCCTTGAGGCGTACCAGGCTCAAGGTTTGGGCTCTTACAGTACAGGTTGAAGTAAGGAATTAAAAATGAATTCGACGGAGACAGATCTGCCAACTGAGCAAGACCGTCGTTCAGGTACACTCTGGCAGTACGGGCCGCAGCCCAACGCCCTTGCACGAGCAACCTATCAAACGAACCGTGCTGGTTGAACCAAAACGTCGCACCCCCGCGACGTAAGCTGTAGGGTCTGAAATGCAGGTCGTTCAAACGCAGTGCCTCGTTGGCTTTCGTAAACATGGCCCTCCAGGCATGTGGCTTAGCAGTTAAAAATTTTGACGGACTAGCAGACTGTTTCCATTTCCACAAAGATGGGAGGATAGAGCGGTCATGCAGCGTAACGCTCTCTGCTGCACCCTGACGGGCACCTCCCTTCGTAAGTCCAAGGGACAGAACAGCAGGTCCCTTAGGTCCAGGAATGAAAATGTCTTTTGCCCGAAGGCTCAGTAGTTCTCCAGTTCGGAGCAACCCGAAAAAAGCAACCCTCAAGGAGAGTCCGAACTCTGGGCAGCCGTGGAACAGGGACCAACTGCATAAGGCATCGAGAATTTGCACCGTCATTGGAAGTGCCCTGTTGGGGATCTCCACCGTACTCCATGCTTTCAACAGCCTCCAGCTGCCAGGGAGTTTCTTTTTGAGGGAAGGGTCGCGGTCTTGCAAGGCGGCCAAGGTGTTGTTAGCCACGGACTTTCCTTCTCCAGAAGCCCAGAGGTGTTCAAGGTAGTCACTGACAAGAGGGTCTAAGCGAGCTTGTTGCTTTGGGAGGGTTAACCCCTCCCCTGCCATCCAGTCAAAGAACTTGTTGAGACTTTCGGTGTATCGTTGCCGGGTGCGAGGTTGCACAGTCAAACCCTTGAGGGATCCTAGTTTGTTGCGGACTTTCTTGCGCTCCTGTTGGCTTCTTCCTTCCATTACTTTCGTGGTTTTCTTCCCCATTTTTTGCGGAGTGGGCGGCGCGAAGGCCGATCTGCGGGGTTCTGGTGGGTAGCCACATAACCCCAAACACCAACTAAACCACCTGCCAACTGAAGCGCTCCGATCCGACACAAGGTTCGTCTCAATCTCCGGCTCGATGACCTCCCCCGCGACAAGGCATGCAACACCACCAATGAATCAACTAAATGCAGGAAACGGCATGAGCTGTCTGCCAACTCCTTCAGTCGCCAGACCAGGGCCGTCTTCACAGCTCTTAACTCAAGGGCATTGATGTGCTCCACGTCGCCGGTCCACCTCCAACCTGCAACGTCCTTCCATCGCCACAGCTTGCTGGGAATGGATGCTCTCAACCTATGGTAGCGAGCTGGCAAATCAGTCCCAAGCTGTAGCAAAATGTCCTCACCCTTCACGGAGATTTGCCCTAACAGACGCGACACCAAGCCTGTCTGCTCCTCTCCTGCCTTTGTGGTTTGCCTCAACGGCGGCCTCAATAGTAAACTGGACAGCTGTTGCTCTCGCCCTGGCGTCAAGCGCTTCACCAAGCATGCCAAATCCATCATCGGTAGCATACCTAAGGTCCTGAAGAGGCAGAACAAAAGATACGCGACTACCGGTATAGACCAGCTGTTCCCCAGGAGACTAAGGCGACAATCACTATGCTTCGTGCTTCCCTCCAGACTCTTCACCATGCACCTTCTAGTATAGTCTAGAGGGAATCCAAGGATGACCTCTCTTTCCTTAATAGATGGCACACGACGCTGACCTTGGCGATTGACCACGCAGTTCTCTTCGCGATACTGGTAAGGCGGGAACCTATGTAGGTCTGCACTCCACCTAGCCACAGCGTCCGGCGGGCATAGGGCCAACCCGGCAGGGCGGCGTCCTGGCACAGCGGAAGGTCGAGAGGTCGTAAAGGTGGGCAATGAACCTTCTGGTCGCGCCCGACGCCATCCTGGCTCGAGGAAATCTTGTTCATCAACTGTCACGTGCAACTCTACCTTTCCCTGCACTGGGAGAGCACCCTCTCTCCCCTTCACAACCTTGGCGCCTTCTAGCTCTAGGGGCTCCCAACTGCACCAGTACAGTCGTGGTCGTCTGGCCAAACTGACTCCTCCCGCGTCAATGCACCAAGGGACCGTCTCATAAGCCTCCGACATGGTGAGGCAATCGCGAGTGTCCATGGATGATGCCACATTCTCAATCAGACGGTGGACGGGGCACCACTTGAAATGTCGCTTCAGAAGTGCTTCGACCCTGGGAATATGTTGAAACAAGCATGATCGCACGTCTCTCAGAGCCCCCCTTTCGGTCGGAGTTTAACCCCGAAACACCTTGACACGGTGGTCCAGCACCTAACAAGATCAGACCAACGTTGGCAAAACGCAACCTCCAGCCAAGCACACACTCGTCCGTCACGTCCGCCACGTCACTCACGCAGACCACGTCCGGGAAGTAGGACTCAACGACCCGATTCGCCTCGGGGGAGATCTCAACCGACACGTATCCCCCCACAGGCACCCGCAAAGCGTCCAAGGCCACACGCAGAGCACCTATACCATCAAACAACGACACCACAAGCACCTGGTCCATCTCTTCGGGCTCAACCACATCACCTCGGCATTCTGCCTGACATGCTGCGACTCCGAAAGGGCTGAGCTCCCTAGTGACACAAAGACCTCCGCCTGTGGTGGAGGCGTCACTCGCCGTCACTATCTCCGACGTCGTCAAGCGGAAGTCCATGTAGGCCAGTGGCGTCAGGGTCACAAAGCGAAGCAACTCTAGTGCCACCTCTACCGGCAAAGGCCTCTTCACCAACGGCCCCAGGGTCCCTAGCTCAGTTACCTGCCTCCACACAGCATTCAAGCCTGACAACAAGGGTCTTCGGAACATGGCAATGTAGACAAAGCCACCGCCAACCACCTGTAGTTCACGCTGAGACGCTCTGCCTGCGACACAGATCTCAACTGCCAACCTCACATACCTTCCCACCTTCTCCATCTTTGGTGAAGCACGCCCTAACTCTCCATCCACCCAAGCTCCTTGCACCTCTGCACGCACCTCCTGGGTAACCGCCTTCTTGGGATGTCGGGGTAGTCCCAGCGTTTGGTAAGTCTCACGCACAGCCAAACTCCACGCCGAGGGCGACCCTTTCAACATCTCTGCTGTCCTCTTGTCAACTTTATGCAACTCGTCATAGTTGTCCAGATAGACTCGAAACTGGTGCGATGCCGTGCTCTGATGTCGATCACGCCGGATCTCTTGCTCCTTTCCGGCCAAGCGCCTTTCCCCACCTAAAGCCTGATGAATCACTCGACGATGGACATGTTGAGCTATCGCCACCGAGTTCACAAATCCCATCGGCAAGACCCGACTTACAAGATGCCAGCCACCTCCTGCATATCCTTCTGGGAGGCCCTCTGCAGGGACCTCCCGTCCAAACCCCATAAAACGGTGCCATTGCGGAGGTGTTCGGAAGAGATAGAAAAAACAACGTATATCTTCTGAAGAGGTCAAAAGCAACTCACCATCCTCCAAGACCGTTCCCGACATCCCTGTCACAGTGGGTAGGGTTGATGTGTCTCCCACCAGGTTACGGCAGAGACCATTGGTCGGAACCAAATTCATGATCAACCTGCACACCTCAAACTCCTCACCTCTACCGTCGACTGCCTTCTCACCCTTCTCCACGGCAAAAAGTCCGTTTAGTACAGGTCGACCCCCCACATGAAACAGGTCCTCACGTCTCATCACCCCACAAACTCCTCTCTCAATCAGGCCGCGGCACACCTCGGCCCAGTGCTCCTGGTTGACCATGATCGAGGGGGTCTTCCCGAGGCTTTGATCCTGGGGCGGAAGCAGGAATTGCTCGAAGTCTGTCACATACGACCGAGTTCCTCCCTCACAGAAAGCTTCTAGATCCAATGTCCCTACACCCTCGGGAAATGCAGCAGCCACCATCTTCCATTGAAATGACTTGGCTACTCGGACCTCCTCCCCTGAATAATCAATGCCCTTTGTTGCAAAGAACTCCTGAAAGGTTATGGGAGGAAGGACAACCTCTGGCCAATCACTGCACCTAATCACCTCCCTCAAGCGCACCAGGATCTTCTTCTGGATCTTTGAAACCCTCGTGCTGGCACCTGTGGTCACCCCATAAAGGCGGTTCAACCCTCGAACAAGAGCCTCCAATGCTGAGTCAACAGGTTCAGACCATCCCAGAGTCCCTGGAAGTGGAAGAGGAAAAATTCCCTCCGTGGACTGCCCGCAACGCGTGGTCTTCGAAAACACCTCCAAGGATTGAGACAGCGCCGGACTCAGCTCCCTCAAACTGCTTTCTTTTTTGCCACATGCGCTTCGCAGGTTCTTCTGCCATGAGGCTGGGTGCATCTGCTCCGTCAAAGAAACTTCTCCACGGCACGGCATCAAAGCCAGTCGCGGCGAATGGTTCCATGCAACTTGGGAGGATCTCCAAACCTCCCCTGTGCCATCGTAGGGCTGCTCTCCAATCCAGGCTTGGCGCTGTCTGCGGTCCATACCTGCAGATTGCTTACTCCTCACCTCAGACTGGGAGGCAGCCTTTGTCTCCCCCCTCCTTGGCCCGGCGGGCTTGGATGCTCGTTTTGGCTTCCGAACTCACCCCCAAGGTCATAGTCTCTAAGCGTCCTTCCGCTCTCAAAAGCCTTCTGGTAGCATTCTGTCAGCATCTCTTCGATTGCCCTGTCGTCTTCTGTTTCCTTTTGTCTCTCTTCATCCGCTTGCCTCTGACCTCTCCTTGACTCATCTGCCCTCAATTGCTCTTTTCTCCTCACCTTTCTTCCCATGCCTGTGCTTTCCTCCTCAGAACCACCCTTCAACTCTCCTCTTTTGTTTTCTTTCCCCATTTTCCTTTCTCTTTTCCTCTTCCCTTCTCACCTCCTTTGCGCTTGTATGATGGTTCTGAGGTTGGCACAGGCTTGCCACGTCCTTTGGGCTGATGGTCACCGTCTCCTCGCTGAGCCATGCCGTAGGGCCGATTGCCAATGGAGCGATTTCGAAATTCATCTCTCGCGCTTCTGGCTGCTTCGACCTGTTCAGCTGGTTCTGCAATACGGATCTGTTCTGCATTGACTAGCTCCAGCTGGCGCGAAACTGAAAAATGGCCACCGCGGAGGGTCGCTTCAAGTGACTTCGCACGTTGTACGAGCACGTCCAACGCAGCTGCCACTTTCCTTCGGAGCAGTAGATCCGAAACCTGAGCAACAGTCACCAACTCCTGCCAAAGCACCGGACTTGCAAGTGACTGGAGGTGTTGGTGCGTGTACATCGAGAACAAGGGACTGAGTTGATCTCGCGACACGCTGTGCAACTCGCCTCGAGAAGAAAGGAGGTGTTCACGCACATTGTCCAACGCCTGAGCCGTCAATGCACCTGGGCATTTTTCGCTCAACCTCCTGATCCTCCTTGTCTCCTCGAAAAGCGGGCCTTCCTCCTCCGACCCTTTTTCAGTCTCGCTTGACGAGCTTGATGAGGACCCGGAACTACCTGAGTCAGACTTCTTCCGCTTTTTGTCCTTCTTCTTGCTCACACGTCGGGCCTTCTTCATAAGACGTTTGCGCCTGGGTACATTGGGGTGCAGGCATGTATTGGTGAATAGGGCCCGCGCTGTCTTCTGCCCTCGTTCAAGCTCCTCTGTCTCTTCCTTTTTGGCAAGCAACTCATCGTATTCTTTCTCTGCTGTCCTCTCTTTTTTCTTCCTCTTTTTGCCCTTCTTCTCTGCGGCAACCACGGGCGACTTGCTCCTCTCTTGCTGCCCTTCCTCTTTGGGAGGCTTGACACCTCCCCTCCCCTTGCCTCGATCCATAGCCATCTCACGAAGTCCGGCCAACTCATCAACCTCTCCTTCATCAATGGCCTTAGCAGGGACGAGGTTGGTATGCCAGGGCTTTGGTGCCACGGCTGCATCCCAAAAACCTCGGGCATGGAAGAACTTGTCACCCGTCATCAACTGTGGACAACCGGCAGGACACGCATGCACCGTCACTGTCCTCGAGTGGCCTCCCCCAAAACGTTCCAGCACGCGGTCTGTCATCGTGCCGGTCAGCTCAAATTCCACCTCCTCATCAGAGGGCTTCAAGCCCCTGATTCGGCCTGCTATCTTGGCATGCGCTCCGTAATACGATGTCTCACCAAGCTCAACGATGTCTAGCCCCTTCATTCTGTCTAGCGTCAATGAGGTCAAGGGATGATACTCTTCTGTCACCGGCTTGTCAGCCTCCGCCTCTTCAGCCTCCGATGCCCGTGCAGGCCTCCTCAAAGGGCGCACCCGCGCCGGCATAGCTGCTGGTCGTCTCACCTTGGGAGCCATGACTCCCCTCACCACCTTCCACGAGTGTTCCTTCTATCGAACAGCTCCTGCTTCGCTCTCTTCGTCACACCTTTGTTAGTCCCCTCACTCCACCTGGGATGATCGGAGTAGGGTACCGGGCCTCTCCACCCTCTGCCTGGGAGCTTGTCTCGTCCTGCGGCAGGCGGGATCAGAGCGGTCCTAGGCGGCGGATGATCGGGAGTACGAGGTGAACGAGGTTCTCGCTGACTGGGACGAGGGCGGAGGTATGGCTCTCTCTGGATGCCACTGCTCGGTCGAACTGCCTCGTGTCCTCCTCGACTGTCTCTAGCCCTGGGAGAATGGTCCTCCCTTTTCTTCCGTCTGGTCCGTGAACCGCTCACAGATCTCGACTTGCTGTCCTTCTTTTCCCTGTCTTTTTTATCCTTCTCCCTCTGTCTCTGCGGGGTTCGGCTTCTTGCTTTCCTGTTCTCTTCTTCCTCCTTCTTTCTGGGCAATGCCTTGCTTCCCTCACTCTTTGACACCTCAGCTACCTTCTTCTGCACCTCCTTCTCGCTGACCTTTTTGCTACCTGATTCCTCTCCTGGATCCTCGGCCTTCTTTCTCTTCTCTTTTGAGCTTTCTTTGGGAGACGCCTCTCCCTTGGCAGCTTTCTCCTCGACCACTCTCTTGGGAGGCGCCCCTCCCTTCGATACCTCCTCCTCGTCCGACTCAGGAAAGAGCCTGGCAATGGAGTAGTAGGCCGAATCCAGGACCTTGGTAACCTTGGCCTCGGCTTCCAAAGTGGTAGGCAGCCGATCACTACCTGCCGCCGCGCGAAGGCGTTCGATGGAAGCGCACACCGTACACTGACCTGCTAGTAGTCGCCACTTCTTGCAGCGACTGCAGGCTAGCATACCCTGTTCTCGAGCCCAAAGCTCCGTGGAAAGTGAAACTGATTCGTGTTTAGTTATGGGGGCATTTAACCATACACAGAAATTAACTCCCAGTGGTTGGAAGTTCCCCTCATTTTGAGACAAGCACTTAATTGATCTTATTTGCAATCTCAAGCCTACCTAACCTTTGTGTTGATAGAAAACCAACAACTCCAAGTATGCTTGTTGGTCAATAGATTCCAGGTCTTGTGTCCTTCTTTTTTTTCGCTACCGGCTCGCCGTGTTTTCACCGCAACAGGTGCACACAATCGCGGTTCAGTGCAGCCACAACAGCCCCTTTTGAGAAGTTTTAAGACATAGTGACGGGTACAGTTGGGTATGGTTGGTGTACTCATGGTACTTTTGACGCAAACCCTGCTTGAACAACTGGCACAAGCTCTGGTCCAGAAGATCACGTCTATCGCAGTCTGTCAATGCGGGTTGGGGCCTAAAAACATCTTAAAAATTCTTAAAACATTTGTTTCAAGCGATTCGTCTTTCCAGGTCCAATGATATTGATGAATATCTCCATTCCCATTCTCCCTCAGGGTGAAAGAAGTTTTTGCCCAGTTCACTCGGTGTTCGACACCGGATCTTCGGGAACTCTGGTGCCTTGAACTCCGGCTTGGCAATCTCCGCCAGCTTCGCACAGGCCTCTTGGTCACCGGAGACCTGGACGAACGTAGACGGTGGTAGCGGCGATCGGAGGTAGCGAAGCGAACGGGGCGAACCGTAGCCTTACGAACGGAACAAGGACGCTAGTAGGTGGATGGGATTTGGACGGGCCACCATCCACTCTGATGTTGAGCAAAAAGGTGGCCATTCAATGTGGGACTTTGAGAAGGTTCCTTTCCTGGGGGATCGAGAAGTATACTACTGGTCCCTCTCCAGCCCCCACATAAGAGCCGGATGCGTTCCGCCAGCTCCAGTTTGATTAAGCAGCCTGACTTCGGAAGAATCTGAATCTCAAGCTGTTCAGCTTCTAGAGGCCAGGTCCAACACACTTTGATCATCTACCAGGGGGATCAGCGACCAGATCAATAAGCCTTATCTGCTCGCAGGCTCGCAGCAATTCGACAACACTGAGGCCCCAGCTGTGTAATTTCCTTTGCAAAGGTAGTTTGCGATCTGTATCCTGCACAGTTCGACATCAAAAACGTCCACCGCGGTCCATCGCGGTCCAACACGACCAGCTCAACAGATCGGATGATCCGGTTGTGTTGGTCGATGACAAACCCGGTCGTGATGCCAAGTCGAAGGCAGTCGCGAATGATGAGAAATTGACCTTTTGTCAACTAGTTATTGACTGAGATCAGTCACCTTTCAAAGATACTTCGTTTATGCCACTGAGCGATTGAAGTGACTCAATCAGTCAACTCCTTAATGTTGTGACCCATCGAACGAGAGTTGCAAAGCTGAGTGGACATGAAAGCGGGCAGTGCCGGAGGTAACACGACTCAAGGACTCAGAAACGCTCTTGCCAGCAGAAGCACCGTCTCAAGTCTCTCACATACTGCGAAGACCAAACACATCCAAACACCCTGCGAAGACCGAATGCGAAAGCCAAATCCGCAGAAAACGGTTCCAATGGATGAACGACCGCAGTCTCAATGGTAGATAAAACAAACCAACATCCCAGACTCTGAGAGCAGACTTATCCCAAACTCCATGGATTTCTCATGGTTTCACCCCAGACTCTTCCCACATGCCTCGGCAACGGCTTTTGTTCTCTCACAGTGCACGTTCATTGGAGAATCAAGCAGAAAAGGAGCGAGCATGTGGGGTGGTCTCAAGACTCGCGACTCGAACACCTTGAAAACCAGTACACAAAATATACTGTATACAAAAATCAGAACATCAAATGTTCTACAAACTAAAAACTAAGGCTCTACGAGTGAACACCATTTTGAAACACCCCATTGGCACTTCGTCCTGCTCCTAACAGTACTGGCCACTGATCCATTGGATGATCAGTCGCCAACTCTTCACACGGCAAAAAGACGGCAGCCCAGCAGCAGGTCTTAAGCAGCTGAGTCATACCACCGGTGAATCTCCAAGATTGAAGTCTCAGTTTGAGACGAAAACCGAAGTCCGGTCCAAGCTCCGAACTTATGACGCAAAGGCCAGGCGAAGGCAGGGGATTTCTGACATGGGATCCTTGTTTGGGATGCGCAAGTCCGGAGTGTAGAACCTTCTATGAATAACTCTCCCACTGTCCTGTTTGTGTTGAAAGAGACATCGACCTCAAAGAAACAATGTTCCTCCACTCAAAAGAGACATACTGTAGTCTAAGGATGGTTTTTGAAGTGAGACCAAAAGCAATCATATTGCCCAGTCACTGCTGATGACGAACCGCCCAACCCATGCAGCTTGCGGAGGAAGACCACGGAAGACCCTTGTAATGATCCTAACGCTAATGTCTGCAGGAGTCCACTCCGGGGTGAACAGTCAGCGCTTATGAAATCAAACGGTTTGCTTCGACATCCAAGCAACAAATTGTTTCATTACAATGTATGCGAACGGATGGAAAGTGTGCCCTGGCCCCGTTCTAGCCCTTAGTTCAACATGAAGCTCGCGCGCTAAAGCTCCTTTTTACCTGGTTGGGCACTTGAGCCAAAATGGCTACGGCATGTACCTGTATAGCAACTATACTGGGACCTCATCCCTATTGACACCCCCCACATCCGTGCTTCGACGGGGAAGGGAGATGAGTGGATGTAAAAACCGGAGAACGAATCATGTTCTCAAAAGTGCATTGGAGGTCAACCAGTATGTCCTATTGATCTGAATTAGCAAACGATCTTGCTTTCGCTTGAAAGTTGGATCAAACAGGTAACGGAGCTACAAACGGAAAACGTGCATCTACCTATGGTACCATGCGATTACCAACGGTGTGAAACACAATCCTATTTCACTCCCATGATGCCAAAATGGTCATCATGAATTACCCAAGATCCCTCAGTACTTGAAGTACCGGAAGTAGTATGTCGGGATGACCCCGATGCTCAACCATTCGTGAGTTGTCGCATGTAGTCAGCTCCGACAAAGCCAATGTAGTCCTTGATGAGCTCAACGTTCCTTGGGTTTCCCCTCCGGATCTGCTCCTCGAAGGACTTCAATTTCTGTGTTTGAGTATCGGATACCTCTATGCCGTAGTAGCGGCATGCAACGAGGATCTCCTTTGTGACATTCTTCCGCTCCGACTTGATGGCGGGGCTAATGTCGATGAATTTGTATGGAGCGGCACCTTCGTCGTCTGGTTTCTGGTAGTAACTATATCGGCTCGCTCCGAAAGTCTTTCTAATCAAGCGTCTGATGAAATTTGAGATGAATGCCAGTTTCTCGATGATCTCTTCCTGGGTCTCAGATCTTTGAGCCTTCGGATCGCTCATGTTACGCCGGGTGCTGCCGACCTCTTTGAGATACTTGTGGCTAAGCCCGCAGCGGATTGCAGTGATCATCATCGGGTGAATGACGTGGGCATGGAATTCATAGATCTGCCACGCTTCTGTTGCATACGTGTCGTTGGTCCATTTGCTCATGCCTACGACTTCGGCTCTCTGAAGGCGTCTTGGAAACCCAGTATCCGGATCATTCGGTACTAATGGCCATCTATTGAATGGAGTATCATGCCGCTGTCCATCGTCGAACTTTCGCAGTACGTCTTCACGACTCTCAAAGCAATTGATGTCGAACGTTGCGTTGGCCAAGCTCTTGATCAACTTCATCAACCTCAGATCAAATTGCTGTGTGACTGCAAAGTTGTGGTCGATGGGGATCGCAGCTTCTTGCGGCAATTCGTCAATTGCGAAGGGGAAAGGCTGTGGAAGTTCATTCCCGTATCCATCTTGAGGGACTTCCCGATATTCGGGTTCGCCTTCGGCTTCGTCCGGTCGTTCCTTCAAAATGATAGGAACTTCCTCGTCTTCCTCTCCTTCGGACTCCTCGACGTCAATGACTTCTTCGGCTGTCTTGCGTGCATTCTTGATGACTTCATCGATGTTTGCACCTGCAGAAGAAGTTGCTTCACCGGAAGAACTGGCTGGCACGTCTCTCGGAGGTGATCGTTGATTGCGGTCCCTTGTCTCCTTGGGTACCACATGCGTGAGCTTCCCATTCGCGATCAAAACCGCTACGCAGTGCGGACATATCGTCAATCGCACATCGACTTCGCCAAGACAGTTGGGACACGGTCTTGAGTCATAGTCTTTCATTGCTCGGCGGTACACGATCTCCTCAAAGATTTCCTGCCATTCGGTGCTATCGTACTCTGGGTAGACACCACTCTCCTCGACCATGCCCAGCAGCTTTGAGATCTTGGCGTCGTCTTCGGAGTAGGTATCATCCTGGACCTCAACCGCTAAGCTCTCAAGCTTTTGATAGCGTGGGGTCATGATCGGGTTTCCGTATTTGGACTCCAGAACAAGGTAGCTTCCAGGGTCGGGTTCTCTATTGAGTAACCTGATCCATTCGATCTCCTCAGGCTGTCCGGGTTCTGCATTGTCGCATTGCAACCATGCCCCTTTAACCTCATCGAAGGGAACGACGTCCTCAACCAATAGAGATCCGGTCGCTGAGATGAGAAGCCCGTACTCCTGCAGCTTCGACACCGGAATGTAGAGAACTACTGGGCGATCACTCAACGCGACCTTACGACCCAGCCAAGGTTTTCCCTTGTAGCCCTGCTCCCAGGCCCATGGCGGAAAACATGTGAAGTGGATAGAATCCCTTCCCGATGCACCGAGACCTCCTGGCACTAGCCCCCGTCGCATGATTGAAGTCAGCGCTCCAAGATTGGTAGCGTGAAATGCAGTCACCATGGATAGGGCCATGTCGTTGGTCATCCTCGATCCAATGTGGTCGATGTTGATGGTAACGTCATAACCTCCACCGTCCGACGAGTGTGCTGAGGTTGCTCTTACGGCCACGGGAAAGCACCATCCATCGCTATTGTGGAGTCTTCCTTTGGAGATTCCCATGCCCTTGAGCTCGTCAATCCATTCCTTCTCCATCGGGTCATCAGGATCATTGAGTTCATCAGGGTGAACGCGGACCGCCAACATTTGGAATCTGATCCTCTTGGTTATGCGGAAACACTCATAGTTCTGGTCGAGGTACTTCTCCAAACGCGCCTTCTTGGTCACGATGTCTATGTTGCCATAGTGATAACCGTCTTCCCAAACTGCGTTATCACCTAACAGGTCTTCCCATGACACCCATGCGCCTTCATCGCATTTGATTGGAGTGAGTCTTCCTCCTGTTCTGAACTGGCGTCCAATTCGATGTCTCAACTTCGCCCCCAATCGGCGACTCAGGGCCTGGCTCGCTTGGCTGTATTCAGGTACTCGACAGTCTGGAGTCGGATACTTGAGGTTGCCGTAATCAGAGTTCTGTGCAGCGAAAGTGACTCCGTTGATCGGTACTAGCTCAACTTTCCCGATCATCGTCATGGGGTCGATCGGCTTGTATCCCTTCTCCCTCCGTGTCGGTAGGGGATAGAATTGATGACATGCCTTTGGTTTGAGGGAGCTGGAGTGCACAAATGCCCTCTCAACAAATTCGTACACCACCCTCATATCCCTAGGGCCTACTTCCGCAAGCTTCCGCCCATTGTAGGAATGTGTCCCTCCTTCGACTCCATCGGCACTTTCAATCAAGGTGAACCCGTCATGGTCAAACATTGTCACGACTCTTGCTTTCAACATTTCTTTTCGCCTGAACTCGCTGTCGACCTTCCTATCTGGAGTAGGCGATGCTCTCTGCTTCTTCTTCTTAGGCTCATCGGTTGGATGTCCGGATGGCACATCGTCGGGTGCAACCTCTCCCTTCACTCTCTTCTTCCAATCACTCAACACTGAGGTGACTGTGGGTGAAGATGAAGGGATCTTCTCGCAATTGAGAGTTGTGTGTCCCGACTTCATGCAGTGGATGCAGAATTCTGCTTGCCCGATCTTCTTCTCGAACTTGTCGATGGCTTGCAGTATTGATGTCTTCGGGTCGGACATGTCAACGTCCTGCTCCTCCTTCTCCTGTTCACATTCAGTTTCCATATCGACACCTTCGGCCTCGGGTTGGCCAGTAGCTTCTGCTCCCTGTTCTGGTTCTTTCCCAATTTCGAAGAAGTGGTCGATGTCG